TATTGAATTTTCATCAGGGATGATGTCACATGATGCTTCAGAAATCATTCTGATATGCTAGTTATATTATATTATATTATATTATATTATATTATATTATATTATATTATATTATATTATATTGTATTATATTTTATTATATTATATTATATTATGTTATGTTATATTATATTATACTGTGTTATATTATATTATAGTATATTATATTATGTTATATATGCACGTTATTTTATGTGCATATTATATAAAAATCTATATGTATTATATTACTATGAACAAATTAAAAATATAATACATAAAGATTATTATATATTATCCACATCATCTAACATCCATATATAATATAATATAAAATAATATAATAAATATTACTGGCTAATAGTACTACTGCTAATACCATTATATTATTATGAATAAATGAAAAATATCAATATAATTATACAATACACTGTAAAAAAAATACAGGGATCAGCACAATACATTCATGTTGTCCCAACACAAATGAAATAAGTTAACAAAATTAAGTGGATTGAATGTAAAACAATAAAGTTGTCCCCAAACAAATGTCAAGAATAGTGTTGTTTCTGCTCATTTTAAATACATAGCTTAAACAAAAATGACACATTTTTTTGAGCGAATGTATTACATTTATCAGATTTTCATGCACTATAAATATCCTTACTTAATATACTCTGATCTGAAAACAGTGGTGCTGCTTACTATTTTTGTGAAAACTGTGGTGATGAACTGTGTTTTATTTTACAGGAATCTGTAATAAAACATGTTAAAAAAAAAAGAACAAAAAGTATTATTTGGTAAAAGAAAAGCTTACTGTGCCTCAAATATTTTGACAATACTGTATACGTTTCTTGGTGTACAAAATTATGCATATCATATTACTTTCAAGATATTTTACTGAAATATATTTGAGCTGAGCTACAGTAACTTTTAATCCTTCTCAAATCAACAGATATGTTCAAAATCAAACAAAAGTGCTCAGGAGTAACATAAATAATGTGTCGGTACTCTTTGGGTAGGGGATTCATCAGAATAAACAGCAAATATCAGTCCAAGGCACTCAGAAAGATATGTTTTTTACTGTATGTATTGTTTGTATTTTATATTGTTTTTGTAGCATATAGTGTAACAGGAATAGTTGTTTTGTAATGATACTCAACTGACCTGGCGTTCCATGGCTAGCTTGATCTACAGTCAGCTTTTCATGTGGCGCTCGACACTCACAACTCGTCTCTGGAGTAAATATGGCCGGTTCTATAAGAGTCTGGGGAGAAAATTGAAGATGTGATGAGAAATAAATAGACATTGCTGCTTTCCAAATACAATAATTTTTAAGTCGAATCCCACTGACTTGAGATCTGATTTACCCTCTTCAAAAATGTTTCCCTTTTTGCACTAATAGAGGTTATTATCTGGCATATTGATTTCAAGACTATCTGTGTAACAGCCTCTTTACGCCGGATATTGATTTGTCCAGTAGACGGTTCTCTAATGTCACTGAGTAAAGACAAATCGTCCGTCCAGCAGTACAGAGCAGGGCAGATTCAGACATACAGAACATGGATATTTCAATCTGTTCAATCCACCTAGAGTTTTACAGTAGGGATACTGTAACCTGTGCTTCTGAATTAACATTTCAACGCACTGTTAGATAACAGTGATGCTGCATTTTAGAGGAGTCTATAAATATTGAATGGGGAAGAATGGTTTTCAAAAATTGTACAAGCATTTTACTTCAATGTTTTTCTTAGGCTGAAGTCAAGAATTATTATCAACTAACCTGATTCTGAAAAAAGAATTAAATATTAAAATAATACGTAAAGGTAGCATGCAAATAATAGTAAATTAAATTTTTTGTTCACTTATTTACAAGCAGATATCTGAAATATATAATAAGAAAAAAATCTAAAGCTTAAAAGAATATAATATGTTATGAAACAGCAAAAATGAAAAAATTGTCAAATAAAAATACAAAATGTGATTTTTATTTTGTTCTCGTTTACTTAAAAGAAATAGCAAACATATTTAATGTACTCATAATTACGAAAAAATGATAAATCTAAAATTGAATTAATCATTTTTTGATTATTATATAAAAGTGTATTTAATGTTTACTTTTTATTTAGCTTTGCCCACCTTCTGAGATCACTTACTGTTAACAATACATGTTCTTGATAATTTAGGTAATGTATTATCTTTTTATTATTATTATTATTCATTAACAAAATAAAAAAATTGAAAAAGGCAGCAGAAAACTAATAAAACTGTTAACATTTACTTCATTCTCACTTTAAAATGTTCTTATTATTTTAACTGTTTTGAATCCAAAACCAGTGATGCTTTTTAAAAAGTCCTAATGAAGTTTTGAATGAAAACCTTTAGACAATTACTCTCAGATATATTGTCATAACCTCCTAGTATGTCAAATAAACCCAGTCTGTTTACATATGCATGTGTTTGGAACCATCTGGTGTGGTTAAAATGCGTTCTGCTGAAACACTAGGACTGGGCAATCATTCGAAAAGTAATCGAAATCGACATTCAGAACCTACTGTATAATCAATCAAATTTTTCCAGGTCGCTTTTTTCGATTACTTTCCCTACCACATTGTATCATGTGACCCTGCTAAAGGCTTTGCAGCTACATCTGATCTCTAGTCAAGTGGAGCCATTCTTGAGCCTTGATGCTCCAGAGATGCCTTGAGACAGAATAATTTCTATTACATTAATGTTATTATTTACATTAAAATATTTGTGTACAGAAGATGCAATAAATGCACTGTTCAAAATATTATTTACAAGATATGCAAGAGCTCTTTTATTTAGAAAAGATACTGCTTATTTTCTACTTTTAACATGAAAATCATTTAAATAATTATTTCTTTTGTTTTCAAAAGTAGCAGTAATTATATTCATTTTTTTTTTTTTTGGAAAAAAATGACCGCTGGTTTTAGGTCATTTGTGTTTTAATTTCAATTGCTCAATGTTGATGTTCACTAAATAAGCATATATAGAAGATAGTGTGTGAATCCTTTAGTTATTAAGTCATGCACACTTCATTTAAAAATCTCTGACTTAATAGATATGAAAGCAATGCTTATTTACTGTACAAAACTTGTCAGTGAACTATGAAGGCAATCGTAATAGAGTTTAAATATATAATTGATCTGGATTTTGATTTTAGGCCAAATCGCCCAGCCCTATGAAACACATTTCAAAAATATGAAAAATTCATTTAAATTTTAGCCTTCCAGTGCTTTTAAGAACAATACTCCCCATCAATCTGTTCAGGGAATAACCACTAAGAGCTTCTTATTGTCAGCCAACATGAAAAACCTACATTCTGGTGCATTCATATCTAAAATAAACATGCAGTGTAGGTGTAACTTCTAATTACTCATTGGAGCAAAAACAAATATATCTCCACAGTGAATTGATGCATAATTCACTCCCATAGGAAAAAAGAAGGATGCTGTGGACCTTTCCCAGAATTCAACACAAGGTGAGAAGGAGGAGCAACATCACAGAAGGGCAGATAAACGCAGACTCAAACATTAACATTGACTCTCCCATTTAAAAACAACATCTGCCAGAGGATTAAAAGAGCTCAAAGCTGCATCAAGCGCTTTAAAATGCAGTTTCGCAAGCTCGACGTCACCATGACAGCGCACAAAAAGACCAAAACAACATGTCAAAACAAAGAGAAAGTGAGCCGACCGTTTTCTCGTTTCACATACACCCTCACCGACTCGTATTTCTCACCGTTCGTGGCAGCGGACAGGTATGTTCCAGCTCCTCCATGATTTCTGGAGGTTCTGAGGTAAAATAGGTTGTGTGACTCCACCTGTACCTGACTCAGCATCAGTTTGGAGCCGCTAGCAGAGCCTCGGTTAAGGATGCTCTACTCCAGCCAGACTGTCTAAGTCACCGCCCACTTTTGCTTCTCTCAGCATCTTAAACCCGCCCCTTCTCGCCTCTGCTGACCAATAGGAAGCGGCGCGCTCCACTCACACTGGAGCGCTCAACGATGGAAGAGTCTGTTGGCGAGGGCGGTGGCAAGTCTGAGGAGGACCAGTCAGCAGGCGTGTCCTACTGTCTAACTAGCATACGCGCTTGTGATTGGCTTAGCAGGCTGTAGCGCCATCATTGTGCAGCTTCTGTGATTCTTCCTTCATCATTGTGCTGCATCAAAGAGGTTGATTTTAACCTAAGTTATTCCAAGAGGGATATTTTATTGGAATTTTTTATTATGGCAGGCTGCTCCCATACAAATATGATATTGAAAAAAATTCATATAAAGTTAGAGAAATTCAAAAATGTAAAGATTTTACATAAACTATACCCAACCAACGTGTTTCCAAATTTTCAGATATTGAGAAAGCAATGAGGAATCCTTTAGTCACTTATATTTGTTGATTGTCATAGTGCGCAACTATTTTGCAAATAATTTTTCGGATTATGTTAAAAATAATGTTCATAACATTGAATGCAAAAAAAAAAATTGTTGTTTTGAAAATGTTGATAAAAATGTACAATTTTATTAATTTTATTATTTTGAAATGGTTTATTCACAAATGTAGACTTTATTACTGTGTTAATAAAGTATCTCAAAGCTGTAAAAAATGTAAAAGTTCTGTCTATTGTAAGCTATTATGAATCTGTTTTTCGCGTCTTGTAAATGTCTTCCATTTGTGTTTTTTCTGTTCTGTTTCGGTTATCTTTGGAATTTTTGTTTGTTGCCTGTTTTTGTTGTATTTGTAAATTTCTAATGCATTATAAAAAATAAAATAGAAAAAAGTGGTTTTACATCGGCGAATAGAGATGGAGTTAGTTTTAGTTCTTTGATTTGACTTCTTTAAACAAGAAGAGCGTTGTAGAGTTAATTTACAAACTACTTATTTGTATTTTAGTTGGTCAGGCTGCAAATATCGTGAATAGTGATGCCATTTGTAGTCATAATGGATAGATTATAGGGGTTTTAAATCCAGTTCAAAGCATTAAAACACACACACACACACACACACACACACACACACACGTCTGTGTGTGTGTGTGTGTGTGTGTGTGTGTGTGTGTGTGTGTGTTGACGCTGAGTGCCAAATCTAAAGAAATACTTGCATATTTATTATTCCTAAAAAAATGCATGTAAAATAATTATCTATGATGTGATCTTTTGCAGTCAATGTTTGAAATAAAAGTTATAAATAAATAAACAATAAATCAAAGTTTTGTAATAGTTAAATCTCTGGTTTAAAATCTATTTATTCTGGAAAGTTCAGTATGGCAGATTGATACATCTTACAATTTGATATGTGTGTAAGATGATTTAACATCTTAAAATTTAAGACACGTGTGTCTGAAGAGTTTATTAGCAAACTATTAATTTTTTTTAGAAATCATGTATTTACATTGAGCATTTAAGAGTTCAATATACACTACCGGTCAAAAGTTTGGAGTCAATATGATTTTTAAATGTTTTAAAATAAGCTTATCCTGCTCACCAAGGCTGCATTTATTTCAGCAAAACTACAGTAAATATTGTGAAACGGTTTTGCAGTATAGAGTAAATGTTTAAAAGTGGCTTATAATTTTATTTAAGAATTTATTCCAGTGGTTTTGAAGATGAATTTTCAGCTTCATTAATCCCGTTCTCAGAGTCATGATCCTTCAGAAATCACTCTAATATTAATTATTATTATTAATATTATTAATATTAATATTAATAATGGTAATAGTAATAGTAATAAAAGCAATAACATTAACACTGAGTGCTAAAGCTAAAAATACTTGCATATTTATTATTTATAAAATATATATAAAAATAATTACATATCATATGATCATTCGCAGTCTGTTTGAAAACTCAGAAAAAAAAATTAAAGTTTTGTAATGGTTAATTCTGTAGTTTAAAATGGATTTTATTCTGAAAAGTTTGACAGTATGGCAAATTTAAACATCTTACAATTTAAGACACTCATACGGACCGAAGACACGTAATTAGGACGTGTGAATTTTTTATAGACACATTTTTTATTAATGATATATATAACGATTTGGTGAAACCCTAACCCTATATTAAATATCACAAATCGATCACAAATAGATAGAATATCACAATATCAGTATTTTAAATACTCTGCAGCTTTATGCATATTTAGTATGCAGATTAAAGCCTCCACATGATTTACTTCAGTCCAGCAAACGTTTTAAGAACACTTCAGTTGTTCTCCACTTGGTGGCACCATTGTTTCAGTTTTAGTTAGTGCTTTTATGTGGATAAAGTGTTTATTTATTAATATAAAAAGTTAAAATCCTAACGGAGAAATCAAGACCTGGAATTTACATAACAAATCTAGAAGCATCTCATGCAATATTTGTTAATATTTTCCCACAAAACTTTCATGCAATGCTGTCAACCCCTTGCCTATTAAACAACAAACCTGTAAATTTGGATTTATGCTTCAGTGTCCTTTAATGATCCTCTTTCATAACAAACTAAATTAAGGGAATAACACTAGCGCCATTCAGCACAGTCATGTAGGCTTCTTTGACTGCCGATGTGCATCTCTATGGAGTGCCAGTGGGTTTCTTTCATTCAGCACAGGTAATTATTTCGGTGACCGGACTGAGCAGAAGAGCTTGGAGAGCTTTGAAGAATCACCTCTCACCCTCAGAGAGGCACGGTGTGGTCCAGGAGAGCTGGCCAGAGAGATGTGATTTCCTCTCAGGAGTTTCCTCCTCATCAGCATGAAGATTCAGTCTCATTTTCCTCTCAGACCCAGGCTATGTACTTTTGACTGCCGTTTCCCCCCCGAGACTCAGACGGCAGATTTCCATCGATGTGTCCGTGGCTAATAGATTCTCCTCCGACTGCTCGTGAAGCAGCTGTGCTCAAGCTCGAAAAGGTTATCGGTCTGTGTCATAATCAAAAAGAAAATAAACGGAAAGATCATTTACAAAGATAAGAGACTCTCTCCTTAAGACACTGAGAGGATTTGGGGGGAAACATTTTTTTTGAGCCAATTGCAATGAGACATAAGTGTGCTGATTCAAGGTTAAGGATATTCTCTTTGATCTTTCTTGAATGCTGAGATTCCCTTGAGTATTGTTTGACGTAATACGAAGGCTTGAATAACTTCATTTAAGTGACATTCATTTCATTCTGGTCTCTCAAAGGTTTTCATGCAAACTAATTAATTTTTTCATCAACAGGCAAAATTGCACACTGGGAAGAAAATGCATGCACTCGTATACTTGCTAATCAATCTAAATGTTAATTAGCATTCACTTTCTTAAACGAGTAAATTAATTCAAGACACATTTTAGGAAAAACAAACAAGGTTTTAGTCGTTAAGACGTGCTGGCCACAAATGTATCATGGTTTTATTAGGCTAACTTCGTTTATGCAAATTATCAATAGGCCTACAAAAAAACATACACAACAATAAAAACATGGTTTATTTTAGAAACGATTTTTGTGTGCATGTGCTGTTTTTTTGCTCATTGCAAATATTTATTTTTAAAGACTCTTTCCGCACCTTGCATCGTTCAGCCAGTAGGTGGAGAAATCAGAACGAGTCATTGAATCATTCACGAACCAATTCGTTCAAAGCACTGATTCTCTCGGGAGCAAGGCAAACGGTCAATTCTGCGAGTCTTTGTTAATAATATTCTGTCTGCAGCCAAAATAACGGCTTAACATTACAACAATTAAAACATTGTTAATTTTAGTAGGCCCAAGTGTGGGAATTCTTATTTATTTTTTTCTCTTTTATCGTTCAGTTAGTGGAGAAAGATGAACGAGTTATTGAATTATTTACGAACCAATTCGTTCAGCACTGATCCATTCAGGATCGAGGCAAACGGCCGATTCTGCAAGACTTTGTTACTAAAAAATATTCTCTGTTCAGTCAAAAAGCAGCTTAAATTTACAATAACAAAAACTGTTAATTTTAGTATGGCTAAGTGGGGGATTTTTTTGTTTATATTTCCCCTCTGTTTAAGGACTCTTTTGGCTTGTTAAAGGTTGACGAGTCAATGAATCGTTTACGAACCAATTCGTTCAAAGCACTGATTCATTCCAGATCATCATGGCTTTCAACTGACTATCATGTCTGCTCAGCCAAAAAGATACAACGCAGCCTCTGTAAGTACCTCAGTCTCAGTTATATTTAAGCTGTTTTATCTAGTGCACTCACTGCAGTTCAAATAGGAAATTATGTCCGTGGGTCAGTCAATTTTGGTGCTTTCAGTTTAAGCAGAAATATGAAACGTTCGGACCCTCAACTAATTTTTTTACATATTTTGACATGAGGCAGATCTCACGCGGTGTTTCCTCACTTCTTTTCAGGGACAAATCAGTTGTCCTTTTCACAAATGGGTCTCCATTCAATTTCCAAAAGATAACATTGGCTCACGATACTTTTAATTTAGGCTACACTCTTAACTTCTTTTCACAACTTCTACAAAATCATGTTGCGAGAAATATAGTTTGAACCATGTTTATAATGACCAATCATGTGTTTTTGTTAGCCTATGCTAACATAAAATGTTTAATAGCATTATAGCTAAAAATATGTTCACAAATAATGTTTATTGTACATCTAATTACATAAAATTATGTGTTTTATATTATACTATATACTATACTTTGCCTGTCTTATCTCCTTCTGAGCTAACTTAATTGGTCCAATCTGCACCATTCTCATGGTCACTAAAACCCATCTCATCATCACTTTCATCTGCAGCATGAGCCAGTTCTGTCCTTTTCTTCTTTCACTAACCATAGAACATGGTGGTCCTCACTAATACACTGTTCTCTGTATTTATAACTAATCAAAAGTAGTATTGCCATTAAAACTACATTTTATTAATAATGCAAATGTCATTAACATATGACTAATCAACATTATATTCCACTATTCCATTTGGAAACACATACATTTGATCAATTCACAAAAAACTAACTTGTCAAAACTTTTTTTAAGCATATGTCATCATAGCTTACTGGAGGTGGGTGTTTTCCAGTACTGGCTTTGCTGCTGGAAGGGCATCCGCTACTTAAAACATATGCTGGAATAGTTGACGGCTCATTCCGCTGTGGCAACCACTGATAAATAAGCGACTAAGCCAAAGGAAAATTAATGAATGAATGAGTTTTTAGTTTTTATTTACTAAAATAACCTTGATCTGTTATTCAGAGAACTGCTGTATTTTTATTAATCAAACAAACGTACAAAATGGACCCAAATTCATTTCTGTTTTATTTTTTGGTAATCAACAACATGCCGCAGTGCTGTTTCTAGAACTAAACTTGTAATTATATTCTGATCATTTCTCTTTTTTGACTATGCAGTCAAAGTTGGACACTATTGCAAGACAAGAAGCGGATGTCAGAGAATTATGATGTGAATTCATCTTGACATGCTTGTCAACAAAGACTGCCTTGATTCCCAATGTATTGTCAGACCTATGTATAGCAATGCAGACAATATATATTTAGAGCAAAAAAAAAAAAAAAAAAAAAAAAAAGCCATGGAATCCAAGCTGTCTCGGTTTGAGGAGCTCTGCGGGGAAGTGTGCACATGGACAATTGATGTAGTTAAGGATCGCAGCTAGCCACAATCAATTCATTAACGGGCCCAATATAGAGCCCTGGAAATAAATCTCATGTCAAACCAAGAGTAATTTCCTGTCTATACGGCCCTGATTGCATATGCTCTGTGTGAAAATATTTGTTTAATTATGACCGACGTCTGGCTTCACTTCAGCATTGTCATATGATAAAGCAACAAGCAGAGAGCATCACATGCCATTTGTTTGATGAGAGCCCCAAAGCGCACAACATCCATCTAATTGTTTACTATAGATAGCTTACAGGTACGTGAAGAATCTTGTTACAGCACCCAAAGCCGTGATTCTGCGTTTAACAATGTCAACAGATCACCAAATGGCTCTGTTTTATTTTGGGCTTCACTAATTA